TGATGAAGATAATCTTCCATTCATCTGCTCAGTGCTAACCCTCTTCTGACATCTAGAAAGCATTCACACAAAACAAGTTATTTATCTGTGACAATCATGTGAGGGACATTCTCATGCAATAATAAAGTTAACCACCTTTGGTAAATCATGATGTGCTTTATGGTAGAAGTGTCAGGTCAAAGTCTTGCCAGTGAGTAGCTCAAAAGAGCTCAGTAAAGCATTTTGAGTGTCCAAGCAACACGTCCCTTTTCAATGGCTGGGACACGGCGACTATCATGGCAGTTCTACATTCTCCTTTTTCTTCTTCTGGGACTGCAGGGGGAACCAAGGGACATGGCACAACGAAGAAACAAGATGAACCTCAGCAATGAGCAGTGAGTGGGGTTAGCAGAGATTCATGTAGGATGTATTAGTATAGAGATGAATCAAAAACACTGTTACTCATCTTAAATACATGGGTTTGTTCTTGCAGCAGTAATCCCTTCAGATTTAGTTCTTAAGCAGCTCTTCAACATATAAAGTGAGTAACACTGATACCTAAGGCAGGCTCCTTTGACTCTGTAGACCACGGATGCTGTCTGATAACGGTCACCTTGTCTTCACCACTGGAGACAATAAAGAGATCCGCTTCCAGACAAGCCAAGTTAAAGTGGGTGATGAAGACCTGACCCTACTTTTGAGTCAGGTAAGCTATGACTTTTTATACAATGAAGGGCACTCTTCAAGTGATGGAACGCAATAGTGCAGTGGCTCATATGATCAAATACTGTTGCTCCCATGTGCAAATGCATTAATAACAAGTTAAATTGAAACTTTGTGATTAACAGAAATCCCCTTCAGATACAAAATTTATTGCGGCTTCTGTTTCATGAATGATTTCATTATCGGAATGATACAAGTTTCCAAACATTGTTACATCCTATCACCCCAAGAATAATCTCACAGAAAGAATTTAAAAACATAAAAAGATTCATTTTGATGCAATAGAGAGACAAAAAAAGTACAAAGAATAATGATGAACAAGACGCTGTCATGACTCTGCCCTTTTAATCATAGTGAAGTAGTGTTTGGATTTTGTTGGACACCTTTAGATCATGGACATTTTCCTTGTGTTTGTATTGGGTTTGTATTTTGTTGTTTTCATTCTGAGTTCTCTGTTTTCTGTTGAGGTTTCGCTCCTTGTGTTTCCTGCCTTTGTCCTGTTTCCTGTGTGATGTTCTGTTCAATTATCCATGCCTCCCTTGTGTATATAAATCTCTGGATGTGTCCAAAATCACTCACTAATCACTATATAGTTCACTTAATAATAATTATGCCCTACATTGTGCACTCATTGTTTCCCATAATTCCTCATGAAAAATCAAAATTAATTTCATAAACATACATAAAAATGATTATGTGGGAGAGCAGAATCTTTGATCTTTCTCAAATATTGGGGTCTTGGCATGTTTTCTTTTGATCCTCTTATTTTAATCTATAAAGTTTAATTTT